AATGATAAGTTTGCAAAAAATACGCAAAATACTTTAGCAAGAAATAAAATTCAAAATAATGAAAAAAAGATACATTTATTAAAATTATGTACAAAGTTTGTGGTAATTTTATTTGAGTGATTGATTTTTTTTATTGAGATGTTTAATTGATTGATTTGTGTTTTGATTAATTGATGTTTTGATTGATAGATATACTTAATGATTGATGTTTTGATTGACTGATGTTTTGTGCAGGAGGAAGCAATAGAGGAAACAGGATGGAAGCTTGTTCATGGTGATGTATTCAGACCACCTCAAAGACCATGGCTTCTGACAGCATTTGTAGGCTCTGGYGTTCAGATCTTCTGYATGGGCCTAGTAACTTTAGGTAAATTCACTTGAGTCTAGAAATAAATTTCCATAATATTTTTAACAATGCAAAGTAGAGATGATCTCCCTGTTATGTATTTTCTGTTACACCGGTCGACTGATTAGTACAATATACATATAAGTACAATAYRTWATTTTGATSTAGTGTTTGCCATGTTGGGGATGTTGTCTCCTGCTAGCCGTGGCAGTCTTATTCAAGCAATCATATTAGTCTATGTGTTTATGGGGTAAGTGTTCCTATTAGTATTAATATTGATATTTTTTGCTACAAAATAGTCTGTAATGTCAAAAATCACTGGTCTCTAGTAAAATACTGAGCTCTAATTGGCTAATAGATAGTTKTTTTTGAAGGGTATTTGCAGGATACCATGCTGGTCGACTCTACAAGACWCTGAAAGGTTTAAACTGGAAAAAGTCAACAGTGGTGGTAGGTTAAGTGTCTATATTGTAATGTTACCTCAGACATGCATTTTTACATTCTGTTGGCCCATTGCACTGTGTATGGCACATCATGTTTTAGGAGTCATGAATTCTTTTTTTTCTGTTATTTGTTTCACATGAAGAAATATAAATATATTAAATAAATGTTAACACATTTGTACTTTGTTCTTGTTTCAGACTGCTGGACTCTACCCAGGCTTTGTTTCTGCWATTTGTTTCTTTCTAAACTTTTTCATTTGGGGMAAGCATTCCTCTGGGGCTGTAAGTATTCAGCACAAAGTACATTACTATTAACTAGAATGGATCATAAATACAAAACACATGGAGTAGTCATAGAATCTCAGTTGATAGTGGTGATGAAAACCTCACTGCAAGGTGGTGGATATTTGTATCCATTTAAGGGTAATAATAATAATAATTTAATAATTTATATAGCGCTATTTAGCAATGTCAGATCAACAGCGCTTTACAATCGTTCAAATGTTAAAACTATTTACAATGTGTCATATATACAGAATAAGAAATAAAATCGAAGAAAAATAAGAAGTAATTAAAGATAGAGAAAGAGATAAAATAGAAATATGAATTCAAATTACAAAAAAGCCATCTTGAATAAATGGGTTTTCAATGCTTTCTTAAAAAGGTTCAATGATTCAATATTCCTAATTGGTATTGGCAAATCGTTCCATAGTGTTGGTGCGGCGCTCGAAAAAGATTGTGCGCCCATAGTTTTTCCCATTTTGACAGCCAGATGTCTCAGCAGTAACCCAGCATTTGATCTAAGACCATATTTCGATTTTTCTTTGACTTGAATGAGTTTACAAATATAAGATGGTGCCAAGCCATGGATAGCCTTGAATGTGATTAGTAGAATTTAGTTAAACTAAATTAATATGATATTATTAGTGAAATTGAGCGGATTCTGTATGGCTGTACAAAAGACATGCTACTATCCTGCTGTATTTGTACCATTCTATGATGGTTATAATACATTAATTTGTATTTTCATTTGGTGTTTCCATGATGTTATTCATACCCGTCACAATCAATTCAAATTCCACTCTAGTAATAATATCATGGTTTTTTTTGTTTTGATAGGTGCCATTTACTACAATGATTGCCTTGTTGTGTTTATGGATGGGGATTTCTTTGCCGCTTGTATTTTTAGGTTACTATTTTGGTTATCGAAAACAAGTAAGTTTGTCTAGAGAAGGTTTCTTTTTTGTTCGTTTCTCTCATTTGTGTATTTTTCTAAAGCCTTATGAGCATCCAGTGAGAACCAATCAGATTCCAAGACAAGTGCCAGAACACATGTGGTACATGAACTTTATTCCAAGGTAAATAGTGYACATACATGTACATCATGGATGTCTTGAGAATATTCACAAGCCAGTATTCAAGTAAATAATATTAATATTGTTGATGTTTTTCATAGTTTTCTGTTGTCTGGCATCCTTCCATTTGGTGCTGTATTTATTGAACTATTCTTCATACTCTCTGTAAGTAGATTCTTAACATATGTTGTTTGCACCACTGTTGTCTGAAAAATGTCAGACTTTGCCTTGTTCTTCAGTTTTTATCCTGAGTAACGGTATTTGGGATTGCTGAATACTAGGTTCACATTTCAGAGAACCTTCCTTAATTGTTGTATATTGTCAAAAGTAAAGAGGACCATTTATCATCACTAGTTTATTATTATTGCAATATAACCTAAAATCATGGTTTGGAATGAATTTGTAAATTACAAATTCTAATATACTTTTTACAAGAATGATTTTCYATTACGCCGCRACAGCTACACAAGCAATTTCTTGCTTGMGCAGGCAACATGATTTTCAGGCACRATGAAAGCTGAACATCCAATTTGAACTGTTTTAGTACATATACCTCTTTAAGGAGATTGAAATTATAAGTATTTGTAAGAATTTTTTATTGATACAGACTTGTCGCTCTTGTAGCCACATCGTGCGCTGGTGATTTTGAGCAAGCGAAAAATTGCTCATGTAGCCTTGGCTTTAAATGTTTGAAAGTTAAGTGTTTTAAGTTGTTTTTTTTTAGGCAATATGGGAGAATCAGTTCTACTATCTGTTTGGTTTTCTTTTCCTTGTCTTTGTTATCCTGGCAATATGTGTGTCACAAATCTCCATCGTAGTCACCTACTTAAATCTTGTCTCAGAGGTATGGCCCAGACTTTGTCTACTTACAAACTATGGATTTTTGTTGGATGGTTATTTTTAATTTTTTTAACCAACAAGTGGAGGTGAAACAGTCTAATGAATTCTTTAATTATTCATATGCAATATATGTGACAGCAGTCATCTTAGTTGAACTTCAACAAATGATTTCTCAATCAATCAACATGGTAGTCAGTCTTTTGAATCTCATTGCAGTGATTAAAAACAAGCATTAATGAACAAAACTAATGACATAGGAAATTTATTTATTTTAATTATGTGTAATGATAATAGCAATATTGGATTTTCTTTTATACATGATTTTTTAACTTTCATTGAATTTCTTTCAGGACTATCACTGGTGGTGGAGGTCATTCTTCATGTCAAGCTCTTGCTCTTTTTATGTGTTTTTGTATGCTGTATTTTACTTTGTAACAAAGGTAATAGTTTTAAAATCACCAAAACATAGTATTATTTATTATTGTCAAATGAAATTCTCAACTGCTTCTTATTACAACAAAAGGAGATTTTTTCAATAGTTTTTTTTGTTTTACTTTCAGCTTAAAATTGTTGACTTCATTCCTGCATTGTTGTACTTTGGCTACACAGTGATAATGGTGTTCACATTCTGGTTGTTAACTGGAACTATTGGCTTTTATTCCACATACTTCTTTATCAGACATATATACTCTGCAGTTAAAATTGACTAGGTTCTGGAATTAAATATTGTGTTTGCTACAAAACGCCAGGCATCACAATCTTGATACTAATTGTTATAAATTATACACAAAACTGGATTTTACTAGAGTGTTAAATAGCTGCAAAGTTAGTAGTCACTAGTAGAACTTTGAAAAGGTAATTACACAACTATTTAACATTGATCACAGTTCAATAGAAAGCAGAACGGACTGCCAAAGGCATGATTTTTAAACTGGTACCAGATGCACTTAGCCTTCCTTTAGGGCCACTGTGCTGGCTAAATCCTACTTGAATATCAAGTCAAAATGGCAACTAGATTTTGTGAATCAAAAGATTCAAAATTATTATGACAGTGAGAACATTCTAACTGTGAATACTTCAAAGGCGCTGAAATTTCTTGAGTGAGATGAAAGAAAAACCATTTGAAAAAGATCATAATGTCCATCATCTTGTTCCTGAAAAATGAGTTAACAAAGTAAGAAAAATCTCTATAAGTATTAATAGACTGCGACAGATCCAGCTTGCTCTCTGTCTAAAATCTATTTCACAAGAAAGCAAGAAGAGCTGCAACTTATTGAGTTTGTTTGAAAGCTTTCACTGTTAAAGTACTCTAAAAATGAACTTTGAATATTTTGATGCAGCTTGAAGCTAGTTTGCGTGCAGCCCAACCAAAACTTTTGTTATATTCAGTTATGTTGTGATTTTTGTCACAGTTTTGCTTCAACTGCATAGAGGCTTTTTGAAGCAATCACAGATTTCATGATAAGAATATCATACCAAAATTAGTATAGCCACTTAGTTTTAATATATTCCAACCAACTGCTCAGTGGCAAGTATGAAGAAAATGTACTTTTAGTGATATTCTACCAAACAGACTGAATAACTCAAAAAGCAAAAAAAAAAACAAAAAACAAATACTATTTGTAGTTAGGTCTTTCGCTAGTAAAAATTTAGTAATCATTATTTTCAAATGTATTTAATTTTCAAACAGTTGTCTTTGWTCTTATATATAGTTGGAAAATAGTATAATGCTCCAAAGTAGTGAGTAAAATGTTTCATCTGTAGGGATAGGAAGAGGGAAGAAATAGGATTGCAACACGCACACAGCTTGGGTTTGGAGCGAGTTTATGTTGTACATGTATAGTTAGTGAAAGGTAAATGCAAAAGTTATGCAAAGTATGCATTATTGCRTAGTTACAAAGTAAGCATTTTGGAAGATTATTAAAAATATAATTAAAATTAGAAGAAAAAAAGAAAAATGTAAATAAAAAGGGAGATGTGAAGAACAACTTAGACATCAAATAAACATGTACAATAAAGTATGTAGCCAATTCAAACAAGTACTTTCTTCTGTGGTAAACAAGTTACCTCCTGGTTTGTTTATTGTCTGTCATTTCTACCACACAAAGTTGGATCTCTTCAAACAAAAGAGGAAAGATAAATATTCTTGAGCAAGCAAAAGACAATATTGAAAGTCACTCTAAATATAGCCTAAGTTTGACAAATTTTCTTAGTATGAAAATAGCCTATTGCAGTSAATCATGCATGAATACTTGACTTGGTAATATTTTTTCCTTGGAAAAAACGTTTATATAAAAAACAGTGGCACATTTTTKAAAGCCACATAAAATTTTTGTAAAAAAATTCTTATTTACAAATATAATACATTTGTTTATAAATTATTCATTTTTTTTGTGCAATTACATTAAATGTTATTATGATTCTTGTTGTTCAAGTCTCTTGGCAAAGTCATCTAGTGCTCTAGCTTCTCGTAGCTGTTTCTCTTTTCGGGATATTAATGCTTTCTCTATAACTTGATTTGCATGCTCCTGAAATAAGAGAATTGTGTCTGCTATGAGAATAATGTTTTCAATAAAGCAAGCTGCCAATGCAATATTGCACTGAGAGTAGCAGTGGAAAATTTCCAAAAAAATRGGTATTTTGAAATAGAATTGACCATTTTCAAATAAAACCAATATATCTACTGCACTTGAGCAAAAACATATGCTTATAGTTCTTAATATTTCTTACCTTTCTCCTGTCATTTGCCTCTTTAATTTTTTGATCTATTTCTTCCTTCGTCCTTCTCTTGGATCTCTTCTTTCTCTTTTCAAGTGATGCTAACTTTGTTGGTCTGTTTTTCACATTTCCTGTGTCCAACATTACATCGAAAGCAAAACCTCCTCGGCTTTGAGGACGCTCTATTATTCCCATGGGAGGCAATGAGCTAAGGTTATTATTTGAGTCCCTGGATTCCAAGAGTCGCTGCTTTGGACTTTTTCTTCGCTTTACTGGAGTACCGTCAATGCTTAGTTCTATCAAGAATAATAAACGATTATTTCAGTTAATCGCAATTTTAGCATGATTAAATCTTGAATAAACTGCCTTTTAGATCTACTTAAGGTATAGTAAAGCCACGCTTAGCTTAATGTCGTCATGATGTTTGCGCAACGGAACAGCTCGAAGTGATACTTCTTAAGTAGCATTTTCAAGTACCTGGTGTTTTCGGTCGTTCGTTTGCTTTAGACTTCATTATTTCTTCTTCACTTGAATTTTCTGTAATGATATTGCGGTTATCATCCAGTTCACAAACACCGCTGTCTGTAGTATCTGTTGTTCGAGTGGATCGAGCCGAACTTTCCCTGTCAGAGCGAGTAGAGTTTGAATTGATGGAGGCTTGACTGCCACGTAAACTATCGGAATCTTTTTCGTTTGATAATTTGTTCTGTTGGACATGTGGCTTTGAAGGCATCGGTGCAACAACAACTTCCGTAGCTTTTGACGCAGAACAACCCATTTTTATCAGAGAAATTCTGCAAAATCGAACAACATCTTGAGAACTCGGTAATTAGAAACTAGAAATATGAAATCTTCTTTCAAGAACTTACCTCAAAGTTAATATTGGTGTTATAAAGAAGAGAGAAAAGTCSTTAAAKCGTACTCTAGTTCCTCCACAATGGCTTTCTGCGAGAAGTGAATAGAAAAATCCCAGAGACAAAGGTTTATTTGAAGGGAAGAAGCTCTTGTTGTCATGGGCACGTATACAAATGATATGGCGTTGTCATCGTAACAAACAAAACCGGAACTACGTCACATACAAAATGATGTGTGAGAACAGGGATMCCRAATTTTTGTATTTTTAAAAAGTCTATCAGAAAATTCTGGAATCAATTAGATGATTACTGTCTTGGTCTTGATTTTATATTTTACAAACATCGAAGCAAAATCATTAAAAAAAGATTATTGTGGATCCTGGAAAATATGAAARCTGTATTGATTTCAAAAATCAGATTGCATTTCAAAATTTTCTTTATTTCAATTTGCAGAGGATCAACTCAATGATTAATATATCAATGCTAAATTTCTRAAAAATGCATCAAAGAAATGCCAGGGATCCCAGGGAAAATATATAATTTCAAAACACTGAGCTTGGGTTYCCTGTGTATTTGTTATCACATGACGTAATACTTTATTGAGCATAGCCGCTGATTCATGGGTCATTTACTTCTAAAAATTTAGGTGTCGTGAATGTCACTGCAGTTTTCGGGACTAAAATTCACTAAAAGTAAGTATCTATTCGGATATAAGAATTGAAGAAGATTTAATCTAAACAAAAATTATTATTTTTATTGTATATTCCGTCAAAATTCATGTTTTTGTGAGGATATCAAAAGGCAAATAGTACTGTACGCTTGTACGTAATTTGTGGGTGTACGATTGAACGTAAGCTTAAGCTTATTAATTTTAAATTCTTCAAAATAATATTCWAATATTATACACATGTTTGATTCAAGGAAATTTTAATCAGTTTCACATATGACGATTTGTTGTAGCTTGCTGTAATGCCTTTTAAATTTGCCTATAAGTTAATCAAATCAATCAAATTCATTCTCAGAGACGTCGTATGCTTCCCGATTGAGTCCTCGTGTATTCTGAGAAATACAGCAAAATAAATGATCATAACAGTTAATAATATTATGAAATAAATACTATGTGCTATCTTATGTTATGATACAACTATAACGATTGTGTAAATTCCACGCATGATACAAAATTAGATGATTATAGCAATGACATAGCGGTGTTCAAATATACCACAGGAATCCCGGTTGAAACTAATCTTCACAAATTGTTTCAGTTTTGAGGAATAGAAGGTAGACATGTCGTTTGGTGAATACAGCTCAAAATGGTCAGCAGGTATGTTGAAATAAAGTTGACTGTTTTTTTTACTTATGTAATCTCAATATTTATATTCGGTATGCAGTTGTAGTCGTGAAATTAAGACGTTGACATTGTTTTAGGAGGAAAAGGAAATGAGTATCAACGACTATGTGACTGCATAAGCAAAAATATACAACAAATTAATAGTAATGGTAAGTGGACGTTATTGTTTGTTGTTATTATTCAATGTTCATGATTTGGAGATAATACCACTAATCAAATCTTGTAGAAATAATTTTTTTTTGCTGAGAACTCATTAGGAACAACCCTCATTGTTCTTTTTACGTACTTTGTCCTTTGCACAATACAATTTAGTCATTTAAGCTTCATTATTATTATTATTTATTGAATTAAACTTGAAACTTGAAACTTGAAACTTGAAACTCAATACCAGTTTTGCTTATTAACTTCTTCATATGTTATTTAACAAATAGATCTCATTTTTCCGTGCGTGTGTACTCTAATAGATACACACGCATGGAAAAATGAGATCTATCTGTTTTATACAACAAACAATTAGTTTTGACGTAATCCGTGTATCTATACTTTGATAACACACGAAAGCCAACCAATCAAAACGTCTGATTTTACTGAAAAGTTGTATAAATGTTGTTTACACTTAGTTTGCACATTCATTCTTGCTCTTTCTGCATGTGCCAACCTAGTTAACATTCCACTGCCCGTACACTTATATAACTTATATAATGATTATAATAGTAATCATGTATAGCTGTTGAATAAATTTACAACYGCTTGAATAAAACTGTGAGCTCTTGAAATATGTATGGACTGCTAGAAGCCCTTATGTGACTCCAAATTTTTGTCAATAAAAAAATAAAATAACTAAATAAACAAGAAGAGTTTTTGAAGGAAGACTGATTAGACTATAGTTTTATATGAAGTTTATAGGTCTTTATTTACCTTTCATTAGAATGAACATTCCAGACATATTTTAGAATGATTAAATAGTTGATGATATTGATCAATGGTATGACATATTTTCAATAATATGATATATTTTTTATGCTTTCCATAGTTACCAAAATTCAACAATTGGTGGACAAGATTGGAACATCAGAAAATGTTAACATAAAACTGTAAGCTTGAAAAAGTTATTCATCAGAGAATTATTTGCAGTTTTCCTCATTTACTTACTTCACATTAACATAGTATCGTTTTGTCTATTTTTTCATAAATCTGTATATTTGGAACCATTTTTAGATTACTTATACCATTCAAATACAAATTATTGACTCAGCACTGTAGTCACAATAAAATAAATAAATTGAATCTAAATCAAACTATAAAGTATCAAATATTGAATGTTTATTCTAATTAAATAAGTTTAATGTTGTACTCAAAATWTAGTGAAACCACTGAAAAGGAAACACAAAGACTTGTCAAAGACACAAACTCCTATCTTAAGCAGCTGGTTCATTTGGGGGGAGAGGACACTACTGAAAAGGTTTGTTGAAAGGGATATTTTTATTCTAGTATCCACTTAACTATTACAAATCTAGCATTCTAATGGCCTTTAAACTATAGTATATTCATGTTAGAGCATGGACRCATAGAACGAAACAAAAATCATATCATTGATCTTGTTTCATCAACCAATAAGTTATTTTATTACCAAGCTTTTTGGCCTTAGGCCCATCATCAGCGTTAATGGAGTCAACACTAAAATCGTTACAATTCAACRAACGATATGGCGTATACAACATTATCCTCGAGCACTTACAAAAACAACAAATAAGTGCAAGCTATCAAAATCGTTGAAAAAAWTTTGAGAAAAAYTGTTCTTTGTTATGTCTCTCTTTTCAAATTTGAACTTTAATGGTTCGGTGGATATTAAAACTTAGAACATTTGGTCTCGTGAACTAGAGTTGATAGTCCATTCAATGGAGTAAAGTATCATCATCTAGATCTACTCATAGTCCACTTGACCTACTGGTACAATTGTTAAGTTTACCAGCAATGATAAATGGTGGTTAGATTTTGATTGTTTTTGTATTCATTGTTTTCAGCAAAGAAGGAAATTACAGAGAGAAAGACTTACTGACAACTTTTCATCTGCCCTTAACAATTACCAGAAGGTCCAAAGAGTAAGTATTAACATAATTATGATAATAAGGTACCTAAATACACAGACTGGTTTATTATAAAATGGTTATCAATATAAGCATCATAATGAAATTTCAAACAAAATAGTAACATGGGACCAAAAATGATGAAGATATAATTTTTTAATGTTAGAATATTAATATAGGACTTTTTAAAAAAAAAATCATGCAAGCCAAAGAGCAGATTTTTTTGAGTATCCAAAAAGCTCAGCATATTTGTATTGTGAATGTGCRATTTTGTCTTCTTTACACAATTGACAACAGTAATAGACAAGATTCTATGACATGCTGTAATGCTATAGCTGCATAGTTTGTATATAGTATCATATATATGAGGGTGTCAATAGGTTATGCCTAGTCAGTAAACAGTTAAAAAATCGTCATTTAGTCAGTAAACAGTTGAAAAAAGCCTTAGTCAGTAAAATGATGTTTTGTTGCATTCTTTCCATGGTAACCAAATATAAACATAACAGGCTCATAAACCCCATAATTTCTAAAGTGTCACGCTTCGATAACATTGGCGTTACTCTTGTCACACAATCGTCATTTAGTCAGTAAACAGTTGAAAAAAGCCTTAGTCAGTAAAATGATGTTTTCTTGCATTCTTTCCATGGTAACCAAATATAAACATAACAGGCTCATAAACCCCATAATTTCTAAAGTGTCACGCTTCGATAACTCATTTAGTCAGTAAACAGTTGAAAAAAGCCTTAGTCAGTAAAATGATGTTTTCTTGCATTCTTTCCATGGTAACCAAATATAAACATAACAGGCTCATAAACCCCATAATTTCTAAAGTGTCACGCTTCGATAACATTGGCATTACTCTTGTCACTCAAGACTGATCATGACTCACACATCACTAATAAATAGCATCGAGGACAAAGAAAATCTTCCAAACTWTAATTTTTATGTTTACTAAAACAACTACTTAAAAAGCAACCATTTAATGATGGTTCGATACAATAATTGGTTATGAGAAAGTGAAATACGTTAAAAATTGGATATACTTTATACGATAAGCAGTTAAATCTTTGTTAGTTATACGCTTACAACTAGGAAAAAACAGCCTTATACGCTGTTAACCCCATTGACACCCTTATACATGTACAAAATATAAMCATTATAACACCAACCTCAGGTTGCAGCTGAAAAGGAAAGAGATTATGTATCAAGAGCCAGAGCTGCATCAATGGGAATGGGTTCAGGTGTAAGTAGATKTTTGAAGATTTGAGGTCTGGGGCATTAGCTTTACCATCATTCCAGCCAAAAATATGTTGAATACCTTCCTGTTGTTCAAAACATGTGTTTATTACATGATAAATGCTGCTCTTTTATGCTATGAAGACAATTCATTCTTATTCATTGATATTTTGTGCTTATATTCCAGCAAACAGGTGGTTATAATGCTGATCCCAGCCTTGTTGACTTTGACAGGTAAATTTTGAGGAATATCCACAATGCTTGATTCTCTTGTTTGCTTACTTTGATTCTGTTTAGAACTAGTGGTGGTGGCAGTGCTTCAGGGGGAGGCCTGCAGATCCAATCTGAGGAAGAATTGTCTATTGAGATGATAGAGGAACGAGAAAGAGCCATTAGACAACTTGAGGTATGCCACACACTTCATTGTAAATTGCATGCAATTATCTTATTTTAATTTTCTAATATATGTGTCTTTCATCAGGCTGATATTGTTGGAGTCAATGAAATCTTTAGAGATTTGGCAAATATGGTGCATGAACAGGGAGATGTTATTGGTGGGTCAAAAAATCATATTGTAATTGATACTGGTTGATTCTTCTGTGCAAAATTGATTTATTTTTTAACCGAGCTTTCGGCTTAAGCAGCCATTTTCAAGGTTGTAGTACACGTGATGATCTAATCAAACGTAGTTAACTGAAAGCGCTCGAGGAAACTGTACAATACGTGCGCGCTCTGTTTACGAATGAAAGACAGTATAAGAAAAAAAAATATTATTAGGGCAAATGTGACAAATTAAATGGTTTTAAGTAATTGGATGTAGCTATCGGGCAGAGTTCTTCCAGTGTCCCTATTTGATATTATGTTGAWCTTATTTGTTTTTGMTATYAAYACTGCTTCCATCCACTTCCTTTGGTGCCACCTTGTCTCGTTTCTTAAGACAGCATCAAAAGCATGATTTCAAAGCCTAAGGACAGACTGGACGACTACGACAAAACCGGTGTTATCTATCAAATACCGTGCGCTGACTGCTCTACCGTCTACATTGGWGAGACCAAGAGATCTCTGAAGACTAGAGTTTCAGAACATGAAAGATGCGTTAGACTCGGCCAAACAGATAAGTCTGCACTGTCAGAGCAWGCCAATCGCCTTGGTCACAAYATCAACTGGAAGGACACCTCCGTCTTAAGAAACGAGACAAGGTGGCACCAAAGGAAGTGGATGGAAGCAGTGTTAATTAATAGCAAAAACAAATAAGTTCAACATAATATCAAATAGGGACACTGGAAGAACTCTGCCCGATTTTGTCACATTTGCCCTAATAATATTTTTATACTGTCTTTCATTTGTAAACAGAGCGCGCGCGTATTGTACAGTTTCCTCDAGCGCTTTCAGTTAACTACGTTTGATTAGATCATCACGTGTACTACAACCTTGAAAATGGCTGCTTAAGCCGAAAGCTCGGTTAAAAAATAAATCAATTTTGCACAGAAGAATCAACAAGTATCAATAATAATATGCCTGTGTACGACGAAATTCTTAATCATATTGTAGTAATTAACTAGAATTTCAGAATTCAGAATTTTTGGTTATTTTGCCTTTTGGAGACAAAATAGAATAGTGTATAATTGTCTGTACTTTGAAGCCTACATAGCAKCCCTCTTGGGATCCCTGTGTATGAGGAAAGTTTGGCTGGTTCCCAGTCGTTCCCAGGCTAGTTGAGGTCGGGGCTGATTAGGAAATCATAGTAAGATCAAACTCTCTTGCTTTACAGACAGCATAGAGGCCAATGTTGAGAGTGCTGCAGTCCATGTTGAAACTGCCAATGTACAGCTAGAAAAGGCTAGAGATTATCAGGTTGGTGAAAACTTATTAAAGTCCTGTCATTTCTACATGGTTATTTAAAAATYGTTTGAGAAATGATTAAACAAAATCTATCCAAAAACATGCCAGTATTTAACAATTTTAAAAATGTTTCTATTTACTGAAAGGTACACTCAATAATATTAATTAATACTGTAGACTATGATCAAGGCTAATGATTTTCCTACTTTATAACTCAATGCAACCTTGTGTGAACTATGAAGAAAGCAAGTCCATTTTCTTGGATGGTGTTGCATTTTCAGTTTTTGAATTCAAAGAAAAAAATTACTTTTAAGAACATTTTCATTGAATCATTAAAAAAAAAACGTCTTTCATTGTCATGATTGRAAACGTAAGAAAGCTATACTAGTTACATCAAGTTTGTTGTGTTTTATTTCCTCAAAAGAAAGCATCAAGGAAGAAGTTGTGTTGCATCTTAATTATCCTTGTGGTTGTTGCTGGTGCAATTGGTCTCGTCGTGTACCTTGTCGTCAGACCAAAAAACAAGTCCTAAATGAGGCAGACAACTTCATTGGCAATACGTTGTTTCACAAAACGACAAAATAAGATTTTTTACTTAATGTACAATACTACAACATACAAATCCTCATTGGTATACTTTGCATGATATTGTATAGCAATAATAATTAGAACATAGGTAAATCGCAGGTCAATGAAATACTGGATTTTTTAGGCCTTTTTAGGCAACTTCTTGATTTTGACAATTTGAATTKGCAAGCTATTCTTGTCAAACAAAAGTGTACAGGCAAATGCACAAAGGAGAGAATAAATTGCACATTCAAAATACGGTCATTTAAAAAAAATTCTGGCAGCAAACATATATCATTTATTTATATGTTTTTTCCCCTTTTTTTCGTTTTTTATTACTTTTTTTATCTATTTATTTATTTTATTTTTAAATAAAGAATAAGATTGCATATTTTTGGTTWTTCAAACATATTTCCAATCTACTAACAATAAATGAAATGTTTAACTTTGGACTATTAGCCACTTCATACATTGATGTAGTCTCCTTCGCAGCCTCCCCTTTTGTCGGGCTTCCTGTCCCTCCCAAAAGACAGGAAGCCCGACAAAAGGGGAGGCTGCGAAGGAGACTAACATTGATGATACAATGATAATATTTTAAGGCAGTCAGAATTTCTTCAAATGACTGTATACATTGAAGTGTGGACAGTGTGTTAGCTAGAAATGCTAGAAACAGGAATTATTCTATTGCACTGTACTGCAAGTAAACCATTATTTTTCAATAAATACAATATATTGTAAAAGGTAATACTTTAAAGGTACATGCAGCGGCCATTGCTCTCCGATTTTTAGAATCRTACTGAGCATCGTCTGTCTGCTATCTATCTAATCACTGTAAGCTTCATTGGTGCTTGTGATTTTCTCATGCCTGGTATATGATTTACAAGCGTGGCTCTTTTATATGACCTGGGGTACAGATTGTACAACTGTATGTTGAATAGCACTATCCTCTGAGTGTATAAATCTTTTTCCAGCAGATAAAACCCATACAAAATTAATGATATGAAGTGCCGAATTATATCTGTTGTATGAGTCACGTTGTACATCCTTCGTACACTAAGGACCCAATGATGTTGATATCTATGAGTAACATCTAATTTGCTTGCACGTCTAGTATTGACACTATACCATGTTTTGCACTATCAAGAAGTTATTTCACACATCTATTCTTGCCTGTTTAATAGTTTTCTTGTTAAAAAGAGGTTGATATGTATAAAAAACATGGACAATCTTGAAAAAATCGACCAAACTAAGAAGACATTTCCAATGTTCCAATTGTCACWTCTTGATTTATATTCAACTTCTGCACATTGGAAATGTCTTACTAGGTGGACAACCTCTTCATGATTGGCTGTTTACATACAAGAGAAAAAGGAATTTTTRGATAATAAGTAATGGGTTTGGTCAGCACAATACCATGAATTTGTACTGAAAAAATATATGATTTGATAAAGTAATTGTAATAATGATGATAAATAGTACAGTAACAATTAAGTACAGTAAATGCAAGAATATTGTCATATTAAAATAGAACATATATTAGAACATATTGTTTAGTGAAACAGAAATCCTTTATCACCTGACTGTTCTTCCAACAAAGGGGTTTTTAAAAGTTAGTGTAAGGGTTACATTCAATAAAAAATAAACTTGTTTCTTCYTCCATAAAATTATTAAAAGGAGCCGTTAGAATACCGAGATCACCTAGAATTTGGAGTTCTCCTCACGTTAGTCCGTATTTAAAATGAAATTTTAACGACAGAAAAAACAGAGGTGGAAAAAATAAGTTAGTTGCCGGTTTTATCGCTATTAACTATAGTGGAACCTGTGGCTTTGTGACATATAATCCTTATTGAGCCAAAAATAGTTCCCCCTTCCCCCCCTTTGAGGGAACTTATAAAATGGGACTGCTCGACGTGTTGGGCGTGTCAAATTCGAATGACATTCTAGTTTCCAAAGTTATGCAGGGAAATACTATAAAACGCTTCCGGACAGATTGCCAACAAACTTTGACATCGATATCGTATTYCGTATTAGTCCAGTACTATTCATCGGGGTGAGGAATTGAAAATTAATCGAATCAAAACTTAAAACWATCAATTATCTTTGAAGTAGGAACCACGCATAGAGCGAACGGTGCTGGAATGAATAGAGCGCACTTGCCTACAGGCTCGTGCTCCTTTACGTCCTTTATTGTACCACTGCGCAAAACAATAGAGGCCGAAGCCTGTTAAAAACGRAGCACGTCGAATTCACTTTTATATTTTTGTAAAACGGTTTAATAAAAGTTTGAAAAAAGATTGTGACGATTCCCCAGAGACATTCAAAAGTCGCGTCGCGCCGTAGCACTGGATAGTGCATATATTACTACTCTATGACGTAGCCTGAGTAAACTCTCCAAAGACCATATTATAAAGTACATGAAGTAGGGCTTTACCTTTTACACTGGAATCTTACAACTCTCAAATTGCTGAACAGTGAACATTTTGATTGTATCTTTTAGTTTTGTTTTTCATTTTTCTTGTACATCATATTTATTTTTTCCAGCCATTTTGGGTCAAAACTTTCAATATCATTGAAAAAAAGCCACAAAAAAGCCACTATCTTTTCATATGGTCCCTAGGAACTCGAGTGTCAGCTAGTAGGAAATAAGTAGTAGTACTACATGATGCTTATGAGATACAATTTATATCCAAGTTATATAATCGACATTACCAAGCTGTGAAGATAACAATCGCCTGTACAACAAAAGGTTCATTACACTGTGACAGTGATATTAAGTTATATGGCTCTTGTGGACTTGACAAGTATCTGCTCGCCGGATCAATAAAAATGGACAAATCAATTAATCGAAACGACTAGATAAATATATATTTAAATGATTAGGTATTATTAGATTCTAATAAATGATGATGATGATTRTTCGATCATGATGATGGTAACATGATATTAGATAGAAATTAATCCTTGCAGACAATGGTCATGTTTTAGTGACAGAAATTATATATATCTGACACAAGGCACAGTAAAGTCAAGTATTTACAAACTAAAACATGATAGTGTTATTATTATTGTAGCGTCGGCTTGGTGTGTCGAGTCAAGAGGCGTTCGAGAAAAAAGCAAAGAACAAAAGAACGTACTAAACAATTTACAAAGATCGACGTCGCCATTGAAAGGARATCGCATAATATAAAACAAACAATTGAAGCAGTATGCTCTCATGAATGGAAATTATTTCAGACTTTGAGAGCTTCTCTATTGTGAATAGATTAAAATAATCGACCGCGGAGAGCCACCATACTAAGGGACGGTCCATTT